TTTAATTTAAAAAGAAGTATCACTCTATAGTTATAATATTATATAGGTATACCTGAAATCAACTATATCACATATATTACAAAAGGTTGTATACATATGGTACAAAAGGTCGATTTAAAGATAAATTAAGTATTATAAATTATTCTCTTCATATCCATTGAATGAATAAACGTCAAAAAATGTATTTACTATACAAAACGCAAAACTACGGTTGACAGTAAAAGTATATATGAACCTGTAAAATAATCTATAATCTGTGATATTTAATAATAATCTTTACCTGTCTGTCTCTGGTGCTAGTTAGTCTGTGAGGCCCCGACGCAGAGTTTCACAAGACCGTTTTGAGGATGTCACTTCGTCTCGTTTGCAATGCCTATTTGCTGAAGTCTATATGTTAACGCAATTCAAACGACGTGCCGGCCAATGTGTCTCATTGTATCTTCTTGTACTGCGAAACCTACGCCTACAGAGGACGCAATACTCCGTGCAAAACCTAGTATGCACGTTCGAAGTTGAGTGACCTGAGACTTTGTATAGGCATCGCGGGACAACGATTTGTAGTACGAATTACTTAATGAGATGAGAGATGAGCCGTTTTGTTGACTACATTAGGTACGTACAGTGGAGCTATTTTAGAAAATATTTTTGAGAACGTGTTAATTTTGTCAATATATGTGTATATAATATAATGCACGACTTCTTCTTCAGATTCATATTAGTTTTTCATCAGAATAATGTATTCTCGTCTTAAACTAGCAGTACCTTTTACCTTTGTGAAATTAATTTGTTATTATATATTTTTCCTTTAACTGCAATGTATAAGAGAATGCTAAAAATTAAAATTGTTGTCATACATCGTTGTCATATATTTAGATAAAGCAAAAATATGATTCTGTATTGGAGCAGAAAATATTGTCTTAATTAGATCCGGGGCATCAAAGTATGTGTATGCTTTATGAACGTAAAATGCAGTGTAAATATGCAATTATCACTCGTTTAACGCATTACAATTACTTTTTAGCGAAATTTGGCCGAACTTATTACGTCTTAACACGTCGGCGGCTTGTCGCCGTAGAACAGACGGACGTGAGACAGTTACTTTACGCACGTAGGCAATCCGAAATTAAACGAGAAATTATTGGTATGCTATTGGGATTTGAACCAGCGATCGAAGACCGAAAGCCGTCGCGACAAGACACTAATCCCCACTTCTTGCGGTACATATAGTAGTATTAGCTCGTTACTCGTGTTTAATCGCCTAACCGTGGGATAGAGAGAGCCTAACGAATTTTATCGAAAACATCTTGTGTGAACGAAACCTGTATGGTTGATACAAAGAAACTGGCCGTGAAATTTGCAAGAGTTTATTGACTCTTACCAACTGGTTTTCGTGAATCTTTCTTCCTTTCTATTATAAGATAAGCATAATTAATGCACGGCATATTGCCGAGAGTCTCATGTTTTTAATTTAGAAAAATATAACAAATGTTCACGGATGTGTATTCAATAACATAGTTATTTAATTTTTACACCGACACTGATAAAGCAGATATGTTATTATCATTAATTATATTTATTCTGAGAAATTTTCGGTACGACAATTAATTCAAAGTTGATTATTAGACGATATTTCAAGTAATAACAAATCTACAACAGTAGGAAAAAACTAATATCATAATCACGCTGAAATTATAAGTAGATGAAATAATATAGAGAAGTCCATTTAAGACTCAAGTTAAGGGTTATGTTACGCAAAGACCATATTTGTTGACAGAAAAACAATGCAATAAACACTGTATAACAAAGACGAAAAAAATAACTAGCCTTCGCTTGGGTGAAAATCGTCAAAGTGAAACAATGCTATCATAAATATATTGCATTTGTGCATTACTTACGTGAATAATTCATTTAGCAACTTGCACGGACGCATCTCTCGAGGAAACAGGCGCGCGACATGGAACATTAGTGTTACCATAAATATCTGTTACTAGGGACAGTCCTTTTCGTAAGATATTTTATTCAGTTTTAACAAAAAAAAAAATAACTCGACTGACTTCTTCCTCCTATATACTCCATAACACTTTTGACAAACATTTTTCCCAGAAAACGCTTTCTGCAAATTACGCCCAGTTTCTGAAACACTGATCATCGTAGATGTCAACTAATCAGCTGTTAAATGGCTTTTCAAATTCCATTTTAGTTGCCAAAAGGATGGTTAAACTCTCTAATTGACCTTAATGATCAGAATGATCAATTCAAATAGTTTAAGCATCATTTTGGCAACTCATATGAAATTTGAAACGCCATTTGACAGATGATCAGTTGACATCTACGATGATCAGTGCTTCAGAAACCGGGCGTAAGAAACATTATTAAAGCTAATGAAATCAAACCAGAACCGAACGGCGTATCCTTATATTTCATGGTCTCCCTCGCTAACACCAGCTTGATCGAATTAACACAAACACGAACGCAGACTATTTGCGAAAGTTACAAGAAATCGCGTATGATTTCAAGATCGGTACCCATTTAAAAATAGTTCGCAGAAAAATTAAACACTCCGATTTTTTCCCTTTTTTTTCCAAGAACTTCCTATTAAAGAGCCTTATTACATTAAATATATCGTTAATTATGTTTCGCAAATTATTAAGCAGCATAAAGTGAGTACAAAGAAGATAACTATAAGCTAGCGCTAATGTTATTATTATTCCTTATCTTACCAACATCGTGACAACAACACAGATTAATTGAGTTACACTTCCTTTACAGGGACATAAGTCCTATGCGTATCGTATTTTTTATGTGAAAAGTTGCCAAGTGAGTAGGCGGTTCACCTGATTTTAAGTGAATACCGCCGCCCATGGACATCTGCTACACCCGAGGGTTGCAGATGCGCTGCAACCTTTTGACCGGTTGGACATCATGACGGACATGCCCATTTGTGCAACAGCGAAGATTGTTGGGTGGCCCAACCACTGTGTTTTCTTAAATTTCGAAATTAGATATCGTTATTCGTCCTTTAGAGTGCGCGGTCCAGTCTTTCGGAAGCGAATAATGACGGAATTACGCAAGCCTAGGCGTGGTCGTTGAGCCGCGACCTTGACTTTATTGCATTTTAAGAGGCTCCTTTTATGTACTAAAGCCTCTGTGATGAGAATTTTGACCGGCGCCGGCGTCAAGTTTAATGGTCGATATAAAACAAAAACAGCGATACAGATTATTTTTATATTCGTTTGTTGACGGCTAAATATAAGGTCTTTTTATGTGAGAACCTTCTCACAGCCAGCTCGCTTGCCACCTGCCAAGCGAGCTGGCGGTTCACCTGATGTTAACTGATAACCGCCGCCCATGGACTTTTGCAACACCCGTAGGGTTGCAGACCTTTTAAAAAAGTGGGCCCCGTTAAACTCGTTCAACACTTCCAATTCACGCCAGTCTTCTGTGAGGTCGTGGTACTTCCCCAGACAGACCTGGCCATTCGTGCAACAGTGAAGACTGTTACGTGGCCCTACCACATTTATATAGTAAGGGATTTGTTTTAATAATATTAGTAAGAAAGTTTTAATTGAAGAGTACAATTTTTAGTAACCATCAGTCTATTGAAAGTATAACAGCTTAGATCGTATTTACCATCAAATTACTTTGTTGACCAATTTTAATATCATAGAAACGATATAGATAAATTGCACGCAGTCATAAACATTTACGCAACTGATGTCCTAGGCATATTGTTGATCATAAGAAACATCTTTTCATATATTTTTTTTGTTTTAAAACAAGTCTTGAAATACGAAAATATTGATAGATGTTTGTGGGCGAAAGTTACGTTCTGTGGTCTCTGCCGACCTCCATGATAATCGCCGATCACATTCATATCTCCGTATCGATGTATTTATGTACTTTAATATGTGCCTCTTAGTAAGGAGCAATTCTTAAAAACGAAACGAAAACATAGAGAATACGCAAACAGCGATAAACTGCTCAACACGCCGCGCCGTCACGCGCGCGTTGAAAAGCGAACGATCAAACAGACGGGGCGTCGTGACAATGCGCGCTAATGAACTGCGAAATCATTTGTCACGTCGGATTGCGAGCGTGCGCGTGCAAAGACCCACCTTTTTGTTCGAAACGCAACCACTCGACGCAGGGCCAGATTTAGAGGTTTGGACGCCGCGGGGCGACAAAGGAGTGGAGGCCCCTTGGCCCCAAATTATTTTCTATTGATTTCTGTTAATATTTAATGTAATCGTGTTTGTACAAAGTACTGTAGGTAGAACTGAAACGCGAAAAAAAAATGAAAGGATGTTTATTAGTCAGAATTTGAAGTTTTTTTTTTTCAGAAGTCTCTATTCCTCCGGTCGCCCTCCCCTAAATCCGGCCCTGGCTCGACGCCCGGCGCTGCGCCACAATTTGCGGCCGCTGTTGCTATGACTGCAAGGACGTTCGAATCGTTTGCGAATGGAATTTGCGGCCCAGATGAGAATGAAATGGTCAGAAGTTGAAACGCAATTTGAAAATGCTGTTAGCGTCAACGGATCGGCTCGATGTATATAATTGACGTAATCGTGGGCGCAGCTGTAAGACGATACGGTTGTAGGTATCGAATTCGTTCGACCTGAATAGTGCCCCTGGTCGTTGTTAGCTCGGTAATGCAGTTGCTAAGGCTTCTGCGGCAAGGTTCTTGGGTTCGATTCCCACACGGGACAGGTATTTGTGTTACCCACAGATAATTGGGATCGGATCTGGGTGTTTCTTCCCAAGGAGGGTTGACGTCTGGCAGGCGGCCGGTAGTAAAAACCTAAACAAAACCACTAACAACATGATTCACATGTTGACCGACTTTCTGATGATCGCCTCTTAGCCTTTTAGGTTTGTTTCACATTTTTATCTTTTTTGAATGATGTTTACAATTTGATTGCTTTAAATATCAATTTTTTATATGACTTATGTTTTTTAAGCTCGAGGTTAAAAAATATTTACTAAATAGTGATCAATCTTACCTTTATTGCTAGCTGCCCACAAGGTGCTTGTCGGGCTGGTCCGCCTCGGTTTAGTGTCTCTGAACATCAAAATATCAGGTATTTTATTCTGTTTATTGTCTTTCGGTATAACGTCCGGCGCTCTCTCCACATTCACCCTGACACAATTCACCCCTGAGCACTTTAGGGGCGTCTTTGCTCGGCAGGAGTGGCGGCGAGGGCGCCTTGGCCTTCTTGTGGAAAAACCTCTTCCTCTCCGGCTTTGTCGGGATGTCGACGTCGGTGTAAATTATGCTGTCGATCTCGCCAGTGTCTGTGCTCTCGTTTCTGAAACCGATCAGGCTGAGCGGCTGCTCGAACCGATTGGAGCCCTTCTGTTGCACCGACATGTGGGTCAGGCCATCGCTGTCGGTCGTCTTCAGCACGTCGAAGCCAGACCGCGCTTTGTCGTAACCGTAATCCTCGATGCTGTTCTTCCTGCCCTTGAACAGGTCTGCGGTGCGCTTTTTCGAGAACAGATTTTCGCTGCTAGTGTAGCCCGTGTTCTTCGTCAGCCTGTTGCGCATCTTGAAGTATTTGTAGGTGAAGTATATCCTCTTGAAGTCCTGCTCGTTCTCGAACCTGATCGCGATGGCCTCCGCGTTAATGTTCCTATTCACGTAGAAGACTAGAGTCCTGTCGCAGTTGGGATAGTTCTCTATGTTGACGCAGTTCGCTATGTCGTCTATTGCGATGTTCTCGTATCTGCTCGTTGCGAAATCGTTGTACTCCTTGATCTGTTTTTGTTTGTCGTCGTCTTTTGTTTCCTCCTTCGTGAGCAACTGCAGTTGGTCCTTTTCGTTGAAGCAAACGGTGATGTTGTATGTTTGAAGCGGGGCTGACTTACTGACGGCCGTCATGTCAATTTGCTGGTTTGAGCTATGCAGTTTCTGCCTCGAGACGATTGCGGCGTATCCGCCCGAGCGGGTCGCCTTCTTCACCGTCATTATGGACCTGTTGACAAGCGGATGTAAATAAGTACAAATGAATCTTTGTAGTGACGAAATTTCCCGCGTATTATCTTACTAGCGACTTCTGGTGTGGCTTCGTACGGGTGAAATATATGAACATATAAACCTTCCTCCGTTCTCCTGAATCCGTTTCGTAGTTTTAAAGATCTAGTCATACATAGGGATAGACAGACCGCGGACGACTTTGTTTTATACTATGTAGCATTAAGCATAATAGCAAAGTTAAATAGACACCAGGAAAGTTTTATAAAATGTTATAAAAAATATCACGACTAAAGTATTCATGCTCTAGTAGTAATGAAGTGATCTGAATCTGTTTGAATGCCGTGCCATCGCAGCTGAAATATACCACCATTTTAATGTTGGTAACGCATTTGCAACCTGTCAAGTATTGTAGATGTCCATAGGCAGCGGTAATCACCAAACATCAGATGAACCGCCTGCTCGTTTGCCAACTTTTAGCAAACAACAAATTTCACATAGAAGTAGGTGTCTGTCATACAATTTATTGATTGAGTCCTTATTGTTTCAAAATCGTATTTTTTTTAATTTAACGTTAATACATATTGGATATCTTTACATTGAGTTATGTTAACGTTAATAGATATTGTATAATAACTTTCCATTGAACGAGTGTAATCTTTTTAACCGACTTCAAAGCGGAGGAGTTTCTCAATTCGACTGTACTTTTTTTTAGTGTTTGTTACCTCACGTCTTTCGTTTGAATGAACCGATTTTGATGATTCTTTTTTTTTTATTGAAAGCTCGTGCTTCCCATGCGGTCCCATATTAATTTCATTGGTATTGTATATTGGGCTCCGGAGAAATAGGGAACTCCTGAAAAACAATTACAAAATGAATACAGAGCGAGATATTCGAAGTGGTTTTGTTTTTCGTTAATGAAAAAATTGACTTGTTAATGTTTGCAAGCATAAAGCGCTCACTAAAAGTAAATGGTAGTTCGGTTATTCATTATTTCCATACGACACGATATTTAAACTGTAATGAGTATTTTAATTTCGATTAAACAATTCGTTGTAACGTAAACATTACGCAGAGTTTTTTCTGTTTATAACTCGGATCAGTTTGTGCAGATTAAAAATATTTCTACTACCGGTGCTAAAACGAATTCATTGAAAATACTATTAGATACTATTAATTTCGTTAGTTTAATAGGTATAGAGAAACCGTGAAGTAAAATTTATTCGTAGGTTTTCTACTTTCACTAACTTTCTTGTTTCTGAAATTTATAAATACTTACAATCTGTATGAATCGCTCAAGTTTAAAGCATATTTATGTTATATATTTTACGTAGAATATTTAGTACGATTTTTGGTTAACTCATTCAATTCAAGGCATTTAATAGGTAAAAGCTTACAATGCTGGCGCACCGAAAAACATATTTAGGGTTCCGTACCCAAAGGGTAAAACGGGACCCTATGACTAAGACTCCGCAGTCTGTCTGTCTGTTAGTCCGTCCTTCCCCAGGCTGTATCTCCGTGATAGTTAGAGAGTTCAAATTTTCACACATGATTTATTTCTATTGCAGCTTTAACAACAATTACTAAAACACAGAATAAAAAAATATTTTAAAGTGAGGCTTTCATACAACAGACATGATTTTTTACAGATGGTACGGAACACTTCGTGCGCAAGTCCGAATCGCACTTGGCCGGTTTTAATGTTTTATTGTAAGGACGTTAGTAACGCGTCTTTATAACATGTTAGTCTAAAGGGCAATATTTTTTAAAAAAAAAACTGGCTAAGGTCTTGTCGGACGAAGGGTTCTAGAAGGTATTTTACAGTTTACAGCACCCATTGTGACATTACATAAATATAGGAAATCATTACAACGCAACACTTCAAATTCTCAAATGCGAATCGAGAACTAAAAAGCCTTCTGTTTCCTCGATCCCTTTCAACTTGGATCACTGGAGGTCGCTATTGAAATGATTCCCTCGTCATTGCCGGGGAGAAAACTGACTGGCGAGCATACGTAATACAAGAACTTTAAAAAAAACAATAGATTTATCGCAAGCGTGCGACGGCCGAGAAAAGAAGCGCTCGTTTCCTTATAATGGCGTGTTCCCGCTGCAAGGCCGCGGTTTAATTTACAAGAGAAGCGATTGTGTCCTGGAATCACATGCTAACAAATATATATATATAGACTGCATCTGTTGGCCCCCAGAAGCTGAGATATCACATCAATCAATTATCAGCAATTGTTTTTTTTTTATGTAAAAGCTGTCAAGCGAGCAGGAGGTTTACCTAATGTTAAATGAATACCGCTCCCCATGGACATCTGCAACCGATGGTCTGCTGATGCGTTGACAATCATCAAAATGTGGGCCCTAGTTACCTCGCTCATCAAACGAAACGCGAAAGTTTAATACTTTCACTTCACGCCTGTCTTCTGTGAGGCCATGGTAATTGCACATTGATCAACAAGGTGTACCACCTTACGACATATCAAACCGCCAAATACCATCGCTACCACCGATGGTTGGCAGTCCAAGCCAGTCCACATTTCTTGAAACTCTCTGAACGCACAACCAAGTTGTGGAAACAGTTATCGCCATCGGTATTACCGGACCGCTACGACTTAGTGACCTTCAAAAAGAGCTTTTTCCTTCCTTACAGACTGGCAACGCATTTGTGACTCCTCTGATGTTGCGAGTGTCCATGGACAGCGGTGAACACTTACCATTAGGTGGCCTACTAGTTTTCCTCATTTTCCATAAAGCCAAAAAACCACTCGGAAGTGATGTTGAAATAATAGTAACGATATTAAATCCTGGACTTATTGTTGTGACGGGTGATAACAGGGCTAACATAATTATTCAGCGAGGAAATGCAGCGTTCATCGGTCCAAGCCGCCTGTGCTTGGTTTGTTAATAACGTATAATTTTGTCTAATATTGTTAATATTTTTTATTCGACCTTAATCATTACGTAGCAGTGGCTTATTCAGTTTGTAACATTTTCACGTTAAGGGTAAAAGAAAAGAATACTTGATACTTCGACTTTTAACTATAACATTTTTATGAAGTTTTTATACACGTGCATTGACATCTAAAAAAAAGTTTTTTTTCTGTGAGAAGGTGACAAGCAAGCTGGCTGTTCACTTGACGTTAAGTGATAACCACTGCCCATAGACATTTGCAACACCTGAAGGGTTGTAGATGCGTTACCACCATTTTAAAATGCGTTGTGGTAGAGCCACAGCAATGATTATCTGAAAAATGTTACAATAATTATCGATTTCTAAAACCCGCTTAACTCTCATAGCTTGTACCCTCTGATGGATGCGTTACAGCGGTTGATAGCAGAGTATTTACATAATTTGGTGCACTTCCGACACGCCACGGTGTAAACTGGGTGAACTTTTGTAATATGAGTAATGAGCTTACGTTACGTTAATTAATTTTAATTTCGTAAAGCAAATATATGTATCCGTCTGTGCGAATTTTAATACAGTATAATTAAAATATATCCCTCCATCTGTCTATATGTTATGCGTTTATAACTAGTCTAATTTATATGAGAGAAGGGCCATACAAGCAGCTGACTAATTAGATTATTATTCTTTACTATATTCAAGCTGTACCAGAAACTCTGCTCTCGTGAATTAAGCGCATATATTTAACGCTTGTACACCCTTGTACCTTAACCTGCTACTATACTTTGCTATTTTAAGGGTTATTTGACCAAGCGATCATTGATCAAGCTTGTCAACCTTCAAAACGGGACAGTTGCCGAGCTTATCGCCAAATAACGGGCCAATAATAAAATTATTACTGCATAAAACAAAATCGATATTGTAAACTGACTAGCGAAAGCCACTTCCATTTTAAGTCGCGACCAACGGGAGAATCACAAAACGGGAACGATTAGACTTATTTCCTTAAAAACAAGTTTCAACGGTGGTAGGACCACGCAGCAGCCTCGGCTGTTGCACGAATGGGCAGGCCCGTCCGGGTAAGTACCACGACCTCACAGAAGACCAGCGTAAAGTGGAAGTACGACAAATACTTTCGCGTTTCGTCTGGTGAGTGAGGTAGCCGGAGCCAATTTTCAAAAGGTTGTCGACGCTGTCCCTTTGTTGTTCACTTAACAACAGGTGAACCGTCTGCTCGTTTGACAACTTTTCGCATAAAAAAAAAAGGTTACGTTAAATTCTAGTTACTACACAAAATTTAATGTAACTTTTATCTGGATTATGTACGCTCCGCATGAAATACTGTTACGAATTTTTGTCAACATGTACTTTAGAAAAATTATTAAATACTAGCGGCCCGCCCCGGCTTCGCACGGGTTTTTAACAAAATTTTTAAAACTAAAAATTATCATACACATAAAATATTTCGAATATGTCGTCTTTGGTGAATGATTTTATGAATTTCTTCATCTTTTAATGAAATACCCTTGAAATTACGTCATGAACGTCTGGTCTCCCATAGCTTCGGACATAAATCATCGCATCTTTGGTTTTGTTGTTGACCGATATTTGATGAGCCAATGTCTTGATTTAAAGCGTCTCTAAGATGAATGTTTCACCAGCCCTCTCCTCACCAGTCTCTGGCGATTACGACATCATTTGTAATTAAATCTTTATGATATCTTTTTGCCATCATATCGACAAAGTATTGAATAAAAACCGGCCAAGTGCGAGTCGGACTCGCACACGATGGGTTCTGTACCGACCTCACAGAAGACCGGCGTAAAATGGAAGTGTTATACTTCTACGTTTCGTCTGGTGAGAGAGGTAGCCGGGTCCCACTTTATTTAAAGATGGCAACTCATTTACAACCCTACAGGCGTTGCAAATGCCCATGGGCGGCGGTTATTATTTCACATCAGGTGAACCGCCAGATCGTTTGCCACTGTATCACATTAAAAAAATGATGTTTTAATATCTTTATTCAATATAGAAGTATTGCACTTACATATTGTCAAAAACACTACTAATGTCAACG